CAGCTGCTTGCGCGCCCAGGTGTGGTCCCCCTGCGCCCCCCCCCCAAAAAATCGCGCAGCAAAGGCCACTCTTGCCCAGGGTCACTCTTGCGTATAGCCGAGTGTGTGTGTGTGTGTGTGTCTGTGTCTGTGTCTGTGTCTGTGTCTGTGTCTGTGTCTGTGTCTGTGTCTGTGTCTGTGTCTGTGTCTGTGTCTGTGTCTGTGTCTGTGTCTGTGTCTGTGTCTGTGTCTGTGTCTGTGTCTGTGTCTGTGTCTGTGTCTGTGTCTGTGTCTGTGTCTGTGTCTGTGTCTGTGACTGTGTCTGTGTCTGTGTCTGTGTCTGTGTCTGTGTCTGTGTCTGTGACTGTGTCTGTGTCTGTGTCTGTGTGCGCGTGTGTGTCGGCTGCACCAGGGCGACGCGAACGCTCGGACATCTCACAGTACGGGCTCCGTGGCGGGCGCGTTCTGGCCACGGCTCTGTGCGATGTCGTTGGGGCCGGGAGTGCGTCTCCGGAGGAGGCACGCGGCACCAGTGCGGTGGGGGCCCATGCCAAGCAGCACCCTGCCTGCCTCCAGGGAGCCCTGGGTCTCTTGGGCCTCGATGGTTCTGCCATGGCAAGCGCGACGTCCCCGCGCCAAAGAATCGTGGACGTCCTGGGGCCTTAGGTCAGGAGAGGAAAAAACACAGACACAATTAATCCTCGATTCCTCAGAAAATATGGGAAAATATGGGAAGTGGGGGGGAAGACAGAAACCCAGAAAATATGGGAAAATATGGGGAATATTTTTATTTGTGTGTATTTATTTGTGTGTCCCGGGGCCCCTTCATTAGGGTCGGGCTTCCAATGGAACGTTTCTTGTGGAAGGGCTCCTACTGCATACGTTCGGGTCGGGAGTGCGTCTCCAGAGGAGGCGCATAGCACTAGCACGTCCTTCTGCGTCCCAGTGCAGTTGTCTCACACCGGACGCCTTCGCCGGGCCCCCAGGGCCCAGGACCCGCACGGAGCGATGCGGCGGCACCTCGACGAACTCGAGACGGGTGTGTGTGTGTGTGTGTGTGTGTTCACAGTTCTCGGCCCCCTCGGGCCCTCGCCGGGCCTCGGGGCCGCCAAGGAACGGCTCGGGAGAAGTTCTGGGGCGGCCAAGAGATGGGTGATGACAAGGGGGGGGGGATATCATGGCGTGGGCCGTGATATTCCCCCAGATTTCACGGCGCCTCTGCCTATTTCAGTGCGTCCCTGGCCCCCCCACCCCCGGGCCGCGCGCATGCCGCCGGCCACGATGTGCGCCCCCCCCCCCCCCTGGACGCCCCCCCCTTGGCCGACCCCTGTCTCAGGCCCAGTCCGCCAGGCCCCAGCCCCGCCCGTCGCTCCCCTCCTCCTTCTCCTCCTCCTCTTCCTCCTCCTCCTCCTCCTCCTCCTCCTCCTCCTCTTTCTCCTCTTTCTCCCCCTCCTCCCCCTCCTCCCCTCCCACCTCGCTCCGGTGTCGACGGAGATCGCGACGCGCAGGTTCTCTCTCTCTCTCTCTCTCTCTCTCTTTTGGCGGGGTTCTCGGCCTCGGGCGGCCCTCTGCTTTGGGCTCCGGGATTGCGCCGCGCGGGGAAGGGGGCAACTGCTAAGTCGGGCCTGTCCATCTACAGGAGGAATCTTACAAAGCATAGTCAGGGAACGATTTTTACAGTATGATTGCTTCGTGTTCTGTTTGTACACGCATATATATATACACATATAGATAGATAAATAGATAGATAGATAGATAGATAGATAGATATTTCGTCCAAAAGCCGCCTGTACGAGGACACGCCCGACCTACGGCTACTGGGGCCGCCCGTGACAACAAAAAAACGGCGTCGGAGATCTGGACCTCCCGTCCCCTCTTCCTTGCTGCAAGGAGGGTCGGAGAGGCATAGGTTGGAGAGGAGGAGAAAGAGGAGGAGGAGGAGGAGCAGGAGCAGGAGCAGGAGCAGGAGCAGGAGCAGGAGCTGGGGGAGGGGAGGAGGGCTACATCCAGAGGATAGCACAGCCGCCAAGAACCAGGAATCAGGGGGAGGAGAGACGAGCAGGGGTATGGGGGAGGAGTTTGGAGAGGACGAGGGGAGCGAGGAGGAGGAGGAGGAGGAGGAGGAGAAGGAGAAGGAGGAGCAGGAGGAGGAGGGGGCAGCAGAATGGGGGAGAGAAGGAAGGGGAGGATGCCATTTTGCAGGAGAGGGGGGGAGGACGAGGGGGAGGAGTAGGAGGGGCAGCAGAGGAGGAGGCTCAGAGGGGTGCCGCTCTCCCTGCCCCCCCCCCGTCCTCGTGACGCTTTTTTCAAACCAGTGCCGGCTCGCCCCGGCACTTCCCGCACAGACGCGCGCGCCTCCGCAGCACCGTGGGCGAAGGAGCTGCTCGCCGTCGCCGTCGCCGTCCTCCCCCAGGCCCAGACCCCGTCGAGTCCCGAGATAACGACGACGGAGTGTTCTCCGCTATCTTCGGCCTCTGGGCGCCCTGACCGGGCCTCGGGATGCTAAGGAGGAGGAGTCGGCCCTGGGGAATGGGTCGAAACCTGTGGGGATCGACGCTACGAAAAAATCTTGGCGCGAGGGGTCCGGGGGGGGAGGACAGGACACCGACACCGCTGCTCGTCGCCCTCTGCGCCACGGCTGTATTCCCCTCGAAGTTCTGGGCGGAACGCTGCCGGGGGAAGGTCCGTGGAGTAGCGGTATCGGTACTTTTCCACCTCCCCTTTTTTTCCCTTCGTCCTCCTCTCCGCGTAGACTCGGTGAACTTGGGGCTTGTTGATGGCCCAAGTTCCGTGCTTGGGGGCCCTCTTGCGGCCCAGTCTCGGCGACACCGCAGTGGTGGTTTCCTCGGCCGTCGCTGCCTTCCCTCGGGATGGCACCCGCCAGGCAGTTGCGGGCCCGACTCGCGCCCCTGAGGCCGACCGCACTCCTCTGCTCCCTCTCCCACCTTCCTCCTCTCTCGCCTTCCTCTCCTCCTCGTCCTCCTCCTCCTCCTCCTCCTCCTTCTCCTCCTCCTCTTCCTCCTCCTCCTCCTCCTCCTCTCCCATCTTCCTCTCTCGTCTTCCTCTCCTAATCCTCCTCCCTTCTCGTTTCCCTCCCCTCCGAAGACTGGAGCTGCTGTTCGAGTGCTCTTCCGAGCCTGCGAGGCGGGCCCGCGGGCCCTCGTCGTGGGCCACGCCGTGGCCCTTCTCCGAGCGGAGCGCTCGCGGGTGACCGGCCGGCGGCTCCGATCCACCAGCCCATGGGATTCGGCATGCCGAAGAATCAGGATGGAAAACAAAAACACACAGACACACGTAATCGTCGATCCCGCCCCCCCGAAAATATGGGAAAATACGGGAAGTCGGGGGGAAGACGAAACCCCCCAAATATGGGAAAAGATTGGGAATCCTGTGATTTGTGTGCATCCAGGGCCCCTTCCAAGAAGGGAAACCTACGCAAACACAGTGTCGTCGTCGATCCGCGCATCTTTCTTGGATCTGCGCTGGGTACCCCTGGCGGCGCCGCCGGCGCGGACTCTGGCGCGCTCCGCGCGCTGGGGAGGGGGGTCTGGCGCGGATTCAGCACATCCGCGCGGACCTCCCAGAGTTGATGTTTATGCCGTTGTTTGATCTTTCACTGAGGCGGGCAGTTCAATGCAGTGTCCCTGCACTGCTCCGAACAGTGAGGACATCTAACCAGAAGGGAAACAAAACGAAGCAAGATCGCCTTCCGCGTGCGCTTTGGTATCACAGCGGCCGCACCTTCGTTCTGTTTTCTGCTCTCTTACATAAGGGAATGAAGTCTCCTCCTCTTCCGTCCTCTCCATGCTCTCCTCCTCTCTCTTCCCCTCTCTGTCCTACCTCTCCCCGTCGCCCTCCATCATCGCGCCCCCTTCCCTCCTCATTTTTCTCTCGGGCTTTCAAGATCCAACGGCCGGCCCATGCGGAGTCTTCTCAGCCGTGCCTGGATCCCCTCCGACGCCGCGAGCAGCGGTCACGGAAAGGTGCCCTGGTGAGGGCCGAGCGCCGATCCAAGAAATCGGTGCGGGGCTCCGAAAGTTTTCCGGGGTGGACAGACCTACCCTGACACGTCGATTGAGGAATTGGCCGTTTTCGGTTCGCGACAGGGCGTCGCGGCCGTCATTTTTGCGGGTTCAGGTCCATCGGTTTCGGTCCCAGGCCGTTTTCATTCAAGGGAGGTTTATTGAAGGGAGGTTTGTCCACCGCCGAAGTTTCTTCAGGAGGGGAAAAATCACACACAGACGCAATTCATCGTCGATCCCCCAGAAAATATAAAAAATGTGGGAATTGGGTGGGGAGACAAAAACCCAAACAATATAAGCAAATATAGGGAATCCTTTTATTTGTGTGTATTTATTTGCGTGTCCTTGGGCCCCTTGGTTTCTGCCCGTGCAGTTTTTCCTCCCTCGAGCGGAGGCGGGGTGCGCAATGGAAGGAAGGGGGCCTGGCATCGCTCTGACGTTTTTTTTTTTTTTCTCGGCGAGGACCATCGAGGAGCATCCTTGATCATTTGGCGAAAAAACCACGCACGAAACCGACCAAAAGCACAGGGAATGGACGTCCGAGCGATGGCGAGGGAGGGATCTACGGATCCGGGCCCGTGGACGGACGGAGCCCCCCGTGCCGTGAGCCTGTCCCTCCAGGGGAGGGCCGGCCCACGCGCCCCGTGGCTCCTCCTCGCGTGCCCGCGCGCCTCTGCTGTCCGAGCGTGTGTGTGGGCGGGCAAAACTTCTGTCCATGTCCACTGCAGTATGGAGTTTCGGGCTCCCTTCCCCAGAAACCAGGAGCGCGCTGGATATGGGTAAATTGGCCCACCGTAGATGCTCGATGTTTATCCATATCCAGTGCGCCTCGGCCTTGTGACGCTCCTTCCCGAAAAATCTAAGACGCACTGGATATGGATACGAACCTTGGCCGCATGTGTGTGCGTGTGTGTGTGTGTGTGTGTGTGTGTGTGTGTGTGTGTGTTTGTGTGTGTGCGTCTGTGTTGCGCTCGGTCTGCTTCGCTCGGGAGTGCCCGCAGCCTGGCTCAAGTCCAGGGGCTCCGGTGGGGCCATGCCCTCCTCGGCGGCCGATGGCATCGGAGGGCGACGACGACGACGACGTATTCTCCGCCTACGCCTGGGAGACCAAGCCGTGGGGCAGCTGCAGCGCGGCCTGCGGCCCGGGCGTGCGAGCGCGCCAGGTGACCTGCGTGCACCCGTGCAGCCTGATATACGGCTGCCCCGAGGCCCGAAGGGGAGCACACACGTGGCGTAGACGTCGACTTCCGGAGCTCCGTGGCGGATTGCTTGGATCCGTGCTGGGCCCGCCGGGCGGCGCCGCCCCTGGCGCGCTCCACGCGCAGGCGAGTGGGCTCCAGCGCCGACTCAAGGAATCCTCGCGGCGAGCTCCGACAGCTTGTGTGTGTGCATGTTGTTGCTGCCTCTCCAGAGGTGGCTGCCGAGCTCTGCCTGGACTCGAAGCCCGCCGAGGAAGAGGCGTGCCAGCTTGCCGTCTGCACCACCACCGTGGCCACCACGCGGACGTATGTCACGTCGTCTTCCTCCACCGTGACGACGCGGACGTCCACCACGGTGACGAACACCCTGGAGGGGAATTGGCAGCACATGGCGAGAATACAGGGGAGGAGGCAAACCGAATATCCCGGAGAATACAGGACCCCCCTGAAACATTGAGATTTGATTACCCCGGGCCAAGGCAGAGTTGTTCGCGGGAAAGGGACGGCGAGGACGAACATTATCTCTTCGGGAAGTACACATCGAATTTGTAATCCGCTTGTGTTGAGTAGCGTATCGCACATCCGACACTCATTTGCTACAACGGCTACGACTATTCTTACTAGCATTATTACTACTACCACTACTACTACTACTACTACTACTACTACTACTACTACTACTACTACTACTACTACGACTACGACTACGACTACTACTACTACTACTACTACTACAACTACTACTTCTACTACTGCTGCTACTACTACTACTACCACCACCACCACCGCTATCATTATTTTTACTACTGCTACTGCTACTACTACTAGTACTACTACTACTACTATTACTACTACTACTACGACTACTACTACGACTACTACTACGACTACGATTACGAGTACGACTACGACTACTACTACGACGGCTACTACTACTAATTACTACTACTACGATTACTACTACTACTACTACGACGACGACGGCGACTACGACTACTACTACTACTACTACTACTACTACTGGCACTACTCTTATCTTTTCAACTACGAAGTTGACGCCTATAACTTCTATGTATATTATGTTGTCTCCTGCTACGCGCACTTTTTGTTATACTTCGACAAACACGGCCACTATTCGTATTATTAGTATTATTAACCTCTCCATTATTTATACGATTACTTATCTAATTACTGCTACTACGATTACGGTTATTACTATTCAAACGCTGATGTTACTACTACTACTACTATTACTACTACTACTACTACTACTACTACGACTACGACCAACACTACTATTACTACGATCATTACTTCCACTACGACTGCGACTAATATTACTACTATCACGACTACGCCTACGACGACGGTTACTACTCCCGCTACGGCTAGTATTACTGTAAGTAGTAGTAGCACTACTACTACGACGGCGTCTTCTACTTCTGCTACAACTAGCACGACTACTATTGCTGCTACGACTATTTCCACTAAGTCGATTAGTGCGTACGACTACTATTACTACTATTGCGATTACTTCCGATCCATACCACGACCCATGTTATCATTAGTCTTGCTATTACTATAGGATAGAACTGCTTACGACTACGCCTATTACGACGACTACTATTACTACGGGTGCATCAACCAGATTTTGCTATCACTACTACTACTACTACTGCTACTAATTCACTACTGCTTCGACTACGACTATGAATTACTTCTACTGCGATGTGTTTACGGATGCTGCTACTACTACTACGACCACTGTGACCACCTCTACTCCTACTTCCACTACTCCTATTACGACTACTACTAAGTCTGCTACTACTACTACTACTACTACTACTACTATTACTACGACTGCTACTACTACTTCTACTGCTACTGCTAGTTCTACTGCTACTACTATTGTTACTGCAGCTACTACTGCTACTAGTACTACTAGTACTACTGCTACAACGACTACTACGACCATTATTTCCGTCGTTGATACGGCTCGTACTATAATTCTATCTTCCGAACAGCGACCACTACTATTCCTATCCTCATTTCTGCGACTACGACTACTACGAAATTGTATAAGTATTATTATTTCTACTACTACTACCACGACCACTACGATTACTACTTGTTCCACTACTACTACTACTACTACTACTACTACTACTACTACTATTACTACTATTACTATTACTACTACTACTACTACTACTACTACTACTACTTCTACTACTTCTACTACTACTACTACTACTACTACTACTACTACTACTATGGACTACTACTACTACTACTACGACGACTACTGCTACTACTACTACTGCTACCTTTACGACTACTACTACTAATAGTACTACTGCTGCTGATGCTACCACTACTACTACTACTACTACTACTACGGCTACGTTCACCAGTGCTACTATTACTCCTACTACTGCTACCACTACTACTACTACTACTACTACTACTACTACTACTACTACTGCTACTACTACTACTACTACTACTACTACTACTGCTACTACTACATCTAGTCTTAGTATTCCTTCCCGTGGATCCGACCAGCACTACTACAAACACTACCCCTACTAGGGCTACTGCTGATGCTGCTGCTACTGATCTCTCTTCTTCGCTTCATGTCTTCCCTCCTTGGCATCGCAAAATTCTCCACCAGTCTTCTTCCCAGTGTTTTTTTTCAACGTAAGCCGCCCACCATGCGCTCCTATACACACGTGCGTCTTTATACAAAAAAGGAGCTCACAATTACTCCGACGGAAGAACCCCACATAAGAATCCTCTGGGCGAATCTGGAAAAAGCCATCACCGTCGTCCTCGTGGTTGGTGAGGCGTCCTGGCTGTCTCTTCTGCGTATATTTCCTCTCGCCTTGGCGCGGGCCCCCCTTCCACTCCTTACGTTGTCCCCATCCTCGCCCCCCTGTTTGTTCCGCGCCCCGCCACCTCCTCCCCTTCCTGTTGCATGAGCGCGCATGTCGATGTTCCTCGGCGCCGTCGCCGCCACGGCCAGCACAGGCGCGTTCTCTACTGGTCACGTCGCGCAGCCGTTGGGACAACCCCGCGGGCCAGGCTGTCGGGACAACCCCGCGAGCCGTTGGCGCGCAAGACCAAGCCGTTGGGACAACCCCGCGGGCTTCGAGCGAGGCGCAGCCGCGCTCAGGCGGAAGGCAGCACGAAGCCCAGCTCTGCCGCGAGCTGCTTCGCCTCCGCCCTGGACAAAACCGTTCTCTTGTCGAACTCCAGGAGCGCCTTCCGCAGGGACGCCGGCGGCCCGCACTCCAGGAACTCTCGCGGCGGCGGCCGCAGGATCAGCATGTTCCGCATGCACGTGGCGCGGGAGAACATGACGTAGAGGTGCAGCCACCACTGCTCGTCCGACATGCCCGTGCGGCCAGCGTCCTCGTCTCTCGCGCAGTCGATGGTGACGCCCTTGCGCAGCGTCTGGCCCTGCGACAGCGTGGAGGTCAGGTAGGACGCGTGCGTCAGGGTGAACCCCGAGCGGCGCACGCTGTGCGCCCCCGAGCTCTGCCATGTGAACTCCCTTTCGCTGGGCCTGAACATCAGCAAGCTCCGCGCCCGCGCCTCGGCCTGGCCGTCGTCGTCGGCGCCTTCGGCGCCCTGTCGCAGCACCTCGGCGACCTGAGGAGCCCAAAAACTTCCTTGTTGCATCCAAAGTGTGGCCTGGGAACTGCGTTCTGGCAGCGCGAGAACCCAACATTGACGACAGTTACAGGTTTTGGATGACCTGCTCGGATTACCAACATGATCTGCGGGCCCCATAGGGAGGGGGCTCCCGCCTGAGACTTCCTCGCAGTTCACTCACAGACGAGGCTCCCGCCTGAGACTTCCTCCATATTCAGGCTTGAGGAGCCCAAAAGTGACGACAGTTACAGGGTTCCGATGACCCGCTCGGATTACCAACATGATCTGCGGGCCCCATAGGGAGGGGGCTCCCGCCTGAGACTTCTTCACAATTCACTCAAAGACGAGGCTCCCGCCAGAGACTTCCTCCAAATTCAGGCTTGACGAGCCCAAAAGTGACGACAGTTACAGGGTTCCGATGACCCGCTCGGATTACCAACATGATCTGCGGGCCCCATAGGGAGGGGGCTCCCGCCTGAGACTTCCTCGCAGTTCACTCACAGACGAGGCTCCCGCCTGAGACTTCCTCCATATTCAGGCTTGAGGAGCCCAAAAGTGACGACAGTTACAGGGTTCCGATGACCCGCTCGGATTACCAACATGATCTGCGGGCCCCATAGGGAGGGGGCTCCCGCCTGAGACTTCTTCACAATTCACTCAAAGACGAGGCTCCCGCCAGAGACTTCCTCCAAATTCAGGCTTGACGAGCCCAAAAGTGACGACAGTTACAGGGTTCCGATGACCCGCTCGGATTACCAACATGATCTGCGGGCCCCATAGGGAGGGGGCTCCCGCTTGAGCCTTCCTCAGAATTCACTCACAGACGAGGCTCCCGCCTGAGACTTCCTCCAAATTCAGGCTTGAGGAGCCCAAAAGTGACGACAGTTACAGGGTTCCGATGACCCGCTCGGATTACCAACATGATCTGCGGGCCCCATAGGGAGGGAGCTCCCGCCTGAGACTTCCTCGCAATTCACTCACAGACGAGGCTCCCGCCTGAGACTTCCTCCATTTTCAGGCCTGGGGAGCCCAAAAGTGACGACAGTTACAGGGTTCCGATGACCCGCTCGGATTACCAACATGATCTGCGGGCCCCATAGGGAGGGGGCTCCCGCCTGAGACTTCCTCACACTTTACTCAACGATGATGAGGATGAGGATGATGAGTGGTGGTGAAGATGAGTGGTGAAGAGGATGATGATTGATTGTGGGTGGTGGTGGCGATGATGATGTTTGAATGAGGATGATGCCGATACCGATGATGACGATGATGTTCGTGAGCGTGTGAGAGAGTGCGAGTGATGATGATGTGTGTGTGAATGAGTGCGAGGAGAAGAGGGGGGGTGAGTGTTCCTGCGCGGGGTGTGCAGAGAAAACAAGAACCCCACTTTGGATGTGGGGAACAAAACAACATTGCACAAGAAGAAATCCTTGGCCCTGGATTTGGTATTTTGCTGCGGCTGGGGTCAGGCGCATCGTTTCCCGTTTCTCTTCCCCCTCCTCTGTCTCACCTTCCTTCCCTCCCACCCTTGCTACCACTACTACTTTTGTAACAGCAATGGTTATTCATATTACCACTATGGCGACTACAACAGCAACTACTAGTACTACTCCCACTACTATTTTTACTGCTGCTTCTGTTACTACGACTGCTATTACTACTACGACTGCGACTACGACTGTTACTGCCACTTCTTCTACTACCACTACGAGCACTATTGCGACTATGTCTATGCATGTGACTAGTGGTACTACGACTACCACTACTAGTATTAGTCTTACTGCTACTACTACGACTACTACTACTAATACTATTGTTACTGCTACTATTACTACCAGTACTACGACCAGCATTGCTGCTGTTATTGCTATT